GGCTGGCCTTGTACGTAAGAGGTTATGAACAGGTGGAGCTTTCCTTACCTCCTCCCCCTCCCCCTTTTTTCCTTTTCCTTTTTTCTTTTCCCTTTTTTGCGCTCTGATTCACAATGTGACAATATATAAAATAAAAGAATATGTTGAACCGTGTAGTGACAGTGGCAATTGGTTTATCTGTGGGATGTGTCATTTGCTTTCTTCCCTTGTCTTTTCTTTGATTGGATCCCTCTCTCTTTCTCTTGCCTCTGTGAGGTCTGGTTTCCTCCTCCTTTTCTTTACCTCTTTCTTTGCCTTTTGGCTGCGTGCAAGTGAGTCCTTGTGACACATGGGGATGGGGGGCAGCCAGCGCTCAACCTGTCATCCACGTGGCTGGCCTTGTACGTAAGAGAGTGATGAACAGGTGGGGCTTTCCGTCCGTCCTTGTTGTGCTTTTTTCGCCTTCGCGCTCTGATTCACAGTGTGACAATATATATATTTATATTCATATGTATACGTTGGATATCGTTAATCAGAACTGCGCGCCGGCTAAATCATAGGCAGAGAGGGGGAAGAGGACAGCAGATCAGGGGCTGTGACAGACTGATTCGTCGGAGTTTCACTGACTCGTCATATATATATATATATATGCAGACTGTTGAGGGTTCAGCCTCCTGATGAGTCGGTGAAACTCCGACGAAACAGTTTGTCACAGCCCCTCGTTTGTTGTCCTCTTCTCTCTCTCTGCCTACGGTTTTACCGGGCAGTTCTGTTTGTGACGATATATATATATATATCGTCAAATAGGGTCATCCCTTTCCCAGATCCAGGGCCTAGCTGCACTACTCGCCGTCTGCCAAGATTTTGAATGCATCTGGTCAGAAAGGTGGCCAGATTCATCCAAAATGTTGGCGGATGACTTGTAGTACAACTAGGCCCTCAGCCGTGATATGATCATGATCGACTCCTGACTGTACTGAGGGCACGACGGTATCCCGACGGATCAATAGGCCCAAAAAATCGGTGTAGTTGATTTCGTTTTTTTTTTTTTTTTTTCTAAATGTAGTTGATTTCTATGGGCCTCACTCCACTACTCTCGACATGCACAAAAGACGAAAAATGTGGCGGTGTATCGTTCCATGTTTTCGCGGAAGATTCGTTCTCATCTTGCACATTTTATGACCAGTGGAGCGAGGCCTTATGCCTTATGTCCAATAAATTTTCGCCCGACTTCCCCCTCTCCTTCAGCAGATCCCACCTGGTATCCCGACTTACTACAACAGGAAAATACTTATTATGTTGTTGTTATTGTTTGAGTTTTTCTTTCTGAGCTTCCTGGACCTCCCGGCTATGGTGCTTCTCTCCTCCCTCTCCTCCCTCTCCTCCCTCTCCTCCCTCTCCTCCCTCTCCTCCCTCTCCTCCCTCTCTTAACGGAATGAACAAGGATGGTGAAGAGAGGAAGGGAGGAAGGGAGGTAAAAAGGGAGGAAGGGAGGAGGAGCACACGAGGACGACGGTCATGACGTTGTGTAGGAGAGAGGAGGGACAAATGACCAGATGCGCCGACTGAGAGGCGAGAAGAGAGAGTGTAAGTGACGCAGAAAGTTCTGATGTGTCCAAAACGGAATCGATAACGGAACGGATTGCACAATGAAGCACGGAGAAATGAAAACGGAATTGAAAAGGAAATGAAAACGGGATTGAAAACGGAATCGATAACCGGACTGATTGCACAATTCAGCACGGAGAATTGAAAACGGGATTGGAAACGGAATTGGAGAACAGGCAAGTGAAGAAAATGGAATTGAAAACGGAGTCAGTTGGAAGGAAGTGGTCCAGGAGGTCTGGATAAGGAGGAAGTCCGTTAGAGGAAAGAGGCTGATGGTGGGGCGGGAAGAGAGGTGGGGGGACAGAGGGAGCGGGAATGAGGAGAGAGGGTTGGGAAATGGGAGGCATAAGAAGAGAGGGGGGGGAAGAAAGAGGGCCTGGGAGCAATCAGAGGAGGGGGAGGTGCAACAATGGTAGGAGGAAGGAGCGAAAGACGAGACAGAGGAGGAGGGAAAGGTGGGCAAAAGGATGGGGGAAGAGCTGAACCGCTGTGGGCCAATAGGATGGGGGAAATGACGTCGGCCATGATGATGACGAGGAGCAGGAGGAGGAGGTGCTGGATTTTGTGACATCCTCATCCTTCAAATGAGTACACTATGCTGCTGCTGCTGCCGCTGCTGCTGCCGCTGCTACTGTTGCTGTTGATGATGATGATGATGATGATGATGATGATGATGATTGTGATGATGATGATGATGATGATGATGATGATGAGGAGGAGGAGGAGGAGGAGGAGGAGGAAGGAATAGGTGAAGCAGGGTGGAGACGTTTCTTCGGATTAGTACATTTCAAAAGTAGATGAGTAACGCAGGGAGATGCAGATGCTGCTGCTGCTGCTGCTGATGATGATGATGATGA